GAAAGCAAGCCAATGGTCAACCAGGAGGGGCTACCTTGACAACCTATGGGGTGGGGTTAGTCTGGGTAGTGAGGAGAGATCAGCTATGGCAGTGGGGGGATAGGTTTGTCTTGTTCTAGAGTTGCAATATCCTGGTAAGGGAGGGCTTGGTGTTGTTCAGGATTAGGAGTCCAGTATGGCTGACTCAGCATGTSTAGCTACATTTTTTTGTCATCACTGGCGTCGTTAGTATCATCAGCATTAGAATTTTCTATTCTCAGGTTTTTCTCAGCCGAAGCCGGATAATGGCCCCGGTGTTACAAACTGATGTATGTTCATATGGGATGCTGGGCCCGGTTCCCAGCACGTGCTGCTCCCCACGAATAGACTGGAGCTTCTTTCTGTCAAAAAAAAAAAAAAAAAGGGTTTTTTGTTGTTGGACCCTTCGCTGGTCCTCGCACGACCGGGGCCGCCCGGTCAAACAAGGTGACCAGGGCGGCCAGGCTGGTAGCCCAGCCTACATAGTACAAACTAATCTTCCAAATAAAGGCTGCGCTGGCAGTTCCAAGGCTCTTTTCTCTGACCCTGACGAGGCCCTGTGGTCCAAAAAACGAACCAGCACGGGCCATTCATGAAGTTCATCAACGGCTGCCCACAACCGATATATGGGGCCCAGCCCGGAATTTGTGGTGTGTGTTCCACAAGTGCCCACAACCGATATATGGGGCAAGTACTGGTGGTTTAAGGGTGGCTGGATTAAACATTTGAACGCGAATCACAACAAGGGCCAAGGCATAAATTTCAGGAAGGAAAGACCAATATCCTCGTATTCGTCCCAATGGCGTTCGCCAACACGGGATTGGTTGATCGATTACACCAGACCAGAACAAAAAAGCATTCCGAGTTTTTTTTTTTTTTTTACCCCTTTTCGCACAACGTGATTTCCAGCTGGCCCGAAGAGGACGATCAGGCAACCAATATGACACACCTGATCTCGTCAACTGTCGACACGGTGTGGAGGTGGTGAGATAGGATCTGGAGATGGACCACAAGGGAATCCAGTTGCCCTGACATTGGAAAACTGCTAGTCTTCTTGCCCACGCCAAGCAGTACATGGGCTGTAATCTCCAAGCCAATTTATTTATTTCGCACAAGGAGGAAGACTTTGAGACCACACGATCTTTGTCTACTGGTACATCTGGACCTATTGATGCACACACGAGTGGGAGGACGTACCGATCGACGGGTACGAAGTAGTCCAGGCAATCATCGCCTATATCCAACATACAATCCGGGATGGATGAAACGCAGCCCCCGAGGGCGGATCAAGGTTGGGAGATGGGCGCTCTGTAGCAGGCCCCCCTTGTTTAGTCGTCTAGTGCCACGATGGCTGGACTGACTCCCTCCTCTTCTCTAATCTCTCTGGGTTACATATGTCTATCACATGCTTGCCAGTGATAAGCACTCAATATTCAAAATGGTCAAACTTCCGAATGAAGCCAAGGACGCAATGGAAAATGTTCCATTTCCACTAAAGCATGGCTTGGTGTTCCAGGAAAAAGTGCAATTTTAGTAATCGTTTTCAAATGGGACGCTGGGCCCAGTTCCCATCACGTGGTGGTCCACATGAATGGACTGGAGCGTTGATCCTAACAACAACAAAAAAAAAGAACAAAAAAAAAGAACAACATAAAAATCATTCAATGGGGATGTGGCAAACATGGAAAAATGGGTTCATCGAACATTCAACGATTGGACTAGTACGATTGCTGTTTCATTCCCTTTTGAGACCAGTGCAATAATTCCTAGACACCACCGCC